CACTTCCCCTTTCAGCTCTATGCGCTTTTAAAGGTTTAGATTCATTTGACTGGAAGTGGCCAGAGGGAGGGGTGTGCATGGCACTCACTCAAAAATCTAAATGTGCCCTGAAAGGGTTGGCAATCTGTGGATTTGGATCACACAGTGAAAATCAGACATCTATAACCTGACTGATTCTGGAAAGGCAAAGTAGAACACATTCTTTTATAGGGATTGAGGCAAATTAGTGAGGGGAAAAATCTATTTAAAATATATGAAATCTATATTAGCTAACATCCTGTGTTTTCTACAATTAAGGGGAAATCCCATGTTTTGCATGTGACCATTTAAGCTTGGGTGGCCACAGTGACCCATGGTCAGTCTTCTGGGGACTGCATGCAAAAAAGAGAGTGACCAAAGTGCAAAAGTGGATGTGGCCAATTTTTAGGAGATATTTTGGAGGTCTCGGGAAAGGGTCACAAAAAGCTTCTGACAATAAAGTATCAAAGCAGAGCACCTGTGGAATTGGTTAGTAAAAAACTAAATTAAAATATTTTTCGTGGGAAATTGTGAGGCCTTGGGAGCCCTAAAACTTTTGACAACACAGTACCCCGGAGAGTGACCTAGGCGAACAGTCAGTAAAAAGAAAACTAATTAGTACAGGCCAGGGAGGGGGTCATGAAAATTTTTGGCATCATGGTAACCCAGGGGAGCAGTCAAAAACTTTTTTTGTTAACCCCCAAGTCAAACGAACTAACAATTAATACTCATAAAGACAGAACAATAAACAAACCAGAAGCATTTTGTGTTGCTCTAACCATCAGTGATGAATATTGAGACTTCACTGTATAATAATTGCTTTAATTATGTGTTGTTTTTGTACAAAGTAAACTTATCTGCGCTATTTACCACTTGGAATGTGCCTTTAAAACCACAGTTCTGAGACAGATCGCTAACCTTATTCAATTTTCCATGCCTTAACACTTGCTTAACTTTAATATAAGACTCTGATAAATGTTCTCCACTCCAAATGTTTTATATTCCTTGCTTGTATAGTAACTTGCCAGAGATATTTTATGCACAGAAAATTATCTATGGTGGGGAGAAAGAGACCTTATGCAGTATTTCCTGTAGATAAGCAGAAATAATGGCATAGCACCCGTTTGTGTTTTATATCAGCATAGGTTATTAGCCTGATGGACAGAGCAATGTAATACTGTCATGCCAATTGTTCTAGTTTCAAATAAGGTTAAACACCTCTGCCATTTTCCTGACATGTGACCTTAGGCAATTCACTGGACATGCTAACTTTCCATTCTGTTTCTTGATTTATTACTGTCATCAAGAGTTTTTGAAGTGTTCACAGAGAAGGGTTGCTACTTACAATACTGAGAGCCACAGAATTCTCAAGCAAAAGCCTTTGGGCCTTACCTGAATACAGTTCAGCAGTAATTAAGGAATTTTTTTAATCACCTGCAAAGTAAATAACCTCAAAATGATTCTTTTATGGGCCAAATGTTAAATTTAGGGCCTTTCTGTGTGGTCAGAAAAAGCATCTCCCAAACTCACTGTGTCCTGTGTGCAGTATTCCTACAAGCCTAATCCATGTATACTAAGTGCAATTATTGCCACAAACTGGAGTGCGCATCACAGACAGCACTTGTAAGATTTGCCATCTAATATGGAATTTACAGAATAAGCGAAGTTCAGCCTTCAAGTCACCTTGAATTAAAGAGGGACCATGGCTGAAATATGTTACATTGCAGACTAAAAAAATAACCATGATATACAATATAATTTGTTCCGCCCCCGCCCCCCTTTCCTACAAATAGACAGCAAAGCATGGAAGAAATCCGAGGACAAACCAAAAAATTGCCACGCTCAGCTGTACCCATGCACAACCTGAATACAACCAGGTCAGTTGTGCATCATCTGGCAGTCAGTGTTCAACTTAAGAATACATCCATAGCTTTAAGCACAACCTTCCTTGAATGAGGCACTTGCATGCTTCCTCTAAGTGCATCTTCAGCATGAGATGTAACTCTCACGACTTCTTTCTGTCTTCCAGCCCCTGATGTATCTTCTGCTTGTTCAGTGATCAATTCTAAGCTTCTCCATGTGCAGCTCTGCTTCTGATTTCAGGTTTTTTTAATGCAGTGTTCATAGAACAAAGTGCATGCACACAGGAGCTATGAACAATATGCAGTCATCTTCCCAGTATCTGCACTAACATGGTGTCTTTCTATAAGCCAACAGACAAACAATTTTAAAAATATTTACAGGGAGTATAAAAGGTAGTCATTGGTTTGCATAAGCAAGCAAGATAGGCAGTGGTTGAGAAGGAAGGTAACAGAGAAAGCTGGACTTGGTAGCATCTCCAAATCCCACACACAAGGCGTAGGGCAGTGATGGCCAAACTTGGCCCGCCAGCTGTTTTGGGACTACAACTTCCATCATCCCTAGCTAACAGGACCAATGGTCAGCAATGATGGGAATGGCGTAGGGGGTCCATGTCCTCTTTACAATCTATGTACATAACTTAGAATTTAAAATAAAATATAAGAAAGGGACTTTAAAAGAAAGGGATTTGAAAGTTAGCTTATTTTGCAAACTCAGGGGAAATTCCCAGAAGTTATTATCAGTAGCTGAAACATTATTTATACAAAGGGCTCAGAGTAGCACTTTTTCCAAACCCTATAGGTTAGATTATGAGAAAGATTATGATATGCCCAAAGTCATGCAATGAACTTCAGAGACAAGTGGGGATTTGAACACAAGTTTCAAGCTGCTGCCCCGTACTGGCTCCTGTCTGACATCTGAATAATCTATAAGGGTAACCCTTTAACCCACAATTACAAAATCAGCCACACTGTTTTTAGTTGGTACAAAAGGAGTGCAAGATTGATATCTAGTGATCTTTCCTGTATAGATAAAAATATAGCATTTGTGATCCTATGTTCTAATTCAGTTTATACTATAGTTGAATATTTTGTGTTTCTACATGGATAGGAGTCACATTTTATGCAAGTACCATGTTAAGTAAATTAGGCTTAGAATAATAAAAATGTAGAGGTGGAAGAAATCCTGAGGATCCTCTAGTCCAACCCCCATCAATGCAGGAGTCTCAACATGTGGTTCCCCCACCCAATTTGAAACCAAAGTGGGCTCTGCTTAGGTTTGCAAATGTGGCAGCAGTTTTATTGCTGCACCACAGGGATGGTTTGTCAACTCTTTTAAAACCAGCTTGATCTGAAGACATGAACAGGGGTAATGCTATGAAAAGCACCACTGGGTAATTTCTCCAGATTGCATTCTTATTAAAGTGACAGGAACTGGACAGCTGTTGTTTCTGGATTACCTGACAATCCTACTTTAAATGGTTTGATGTATTTTGTTAAATTGCTATGTGTGTATTATTGTATCATATATCCATCCATGTTTGTATGTGTACACAAAAGCTGCTTTATTTTCAATTTAATGTATGATCTCAGGTACAATAAAACTTTTTATGCATAACTGTATGTGTGAGTGAATATATTAAACGAAATCTATTCCTGTACTGCATATTCCAGTGAAAATAAGAATGTGAAGTATGAGAATGTCAAAATCCATCCTGATTTCTGCACATGGTTGAAAAGGTTGCATGAAAAGCAGCATGTGTGCTTTCACGGAGGCACAGTAGCCCTGCCCCTATCTTGCAAAACCAAACAACCAAAAGCCACAGGAGTTTAATGGTGTGAAAAGAAAACATAAGAAGTGCTTAAAAGCACTTCTTTTTTCTTAAAAACACTCTTTCTTTCTTTCTTTCTTTCTTTCTTTTTGCTTTGTAGTGCTGCCATTTTTCTCCTGGCAGAGCTTCTGCCAGAAAAAGGTGTGTGATAGGCAGGTTTTCAGTAGGTAAAAAGTTTATCATTACTGCATAGAAAAACTACACCAGCTGAATTTCCGCCAGTTCGTCAGAAAAAGGTGGTCAACTCTGACAACGTACTCCACTCTTGGGTGGCATTTCTCATGGCTACCCTCCCACCTGCTGCAATCCAACTGCATTGCAGCAGTCTCGTCATCTTCACCCCTTTACACTTATTATTATTTAACATTTGTAATAAAGTGTCTAACATTTGCTGAGTGCTGTACATCTTTTAAAAGATAAGAGAGTCCCTGCCCCCAGGTTCCCACTCTAATATGGTACAAAAGGGAAAAGAAGAAGGGAAGAAGAAAGAGGAAAACAGGCATTGGAGCAGCTGCTTCTTTACTAGCCAATACTTGGGCCAAGCCGGTCTATCCCAGGAGTCAGCAAACTTTTTCAGCAGGGGGCCAGTTCACTGTCCCTCAGACCTTGTGGGGGGCCAGACTATATTTTGAAGGTGGGGGAAAGAACGAATTCCTATGCCACAAATAACTCAGAGATGCATTTTTAAATAAAAGAACACATTCTACTCATGTAAAAACACCAGGCAGGCCCCACAAATAACCCAGAGATGCACTTTAAATAAAAGGACACATTCTACTCATGTAAAAACATGCTGATTCCCGGACTGTCCGCAGGCCGGATTCAGAAGGCGATTGGGCCGGATCCGGCCCCCGGGCCTTAGTTTGCCTACCCATGGTCTATCACATGCCTTGATGTTCTTCCTGGGAGGCAGGCAGTGCAGCCTTGTAATGGCCCCTGGTGTCCTGGCTCATGACAGAGCCCCGAGTGCATTAGCACTATTTCTCCTGTGAGCTTCAGTTAGCAACCGAAACAACTGATGGGTAAGATGGAGGGTGCCCATTAGCTCACATGGCTTTAAAAGGGCCAGCAAAATTAGGAACAACAGAAGCTGTCTTATACAGAGTCAAACTCTTGGTTCATCTAGATCAGTATTGTCTACACACCGACTGGCAGTGGCTCTCTGGGATTTCAGGCAGGGGTCTCTCCCAACCCTGCCTGGAGACTGAACCTGGGACCAAAATTTTGTTTGCCACTGGGTTATGGCCCTTCACCAGATCTGACCCACCAAGTTCCCCACTTATGCAAGTAGTTAAAGGGAAACGTTTATTGGATAAAGTTTCCTTTAGATGAGCGCACATTCAGAGACTTATAGTATTTTGGAAACATGTACAAAATACACAGAGAAAGCATAAATGCAGGCAAAGAAAGACATCTTGAAGGCAGATGATCCTGAGAGGGGGGCAGTAACACACCCACACCCTGGTGCTTCATGTTCACACCTTTGAGGGAAATGTTTTTTCAAATGTACTTTAAAGGCATAGTGTGTGCACGCATATCAAGCAAATGTGCTTGTTGGAATGGGCTTAGCCATTTACAGTTGCGGTGTTGGGATTCAGTTGTGCCTTTGGCAGAAATTTCAGGCAGTATTTCAGTAAGTAAACTGCTGAGAAGACATCTGGGCATTAAGCGATATATTACTTTCATAGTTACAGCTTTCCCCACTGCTGTATCTCAAGGATAGGGAAAATGCTGTGCCTGTTACTTTCTGTCAGCCTGTCACGAATTTTAACGTGCCCTGGAGCCTCTCCCATAACATTTCAGCATAGAGTGTTTTCCAAGACGAGAACGCGGAGGAGAACCTGGCAGTTACCCCTATATCGTGTCATTAAAACAATCGGGTATGAAAAATATGTCAGCGAGAGAATTTAAGCCGTCCCTCTTCCGCCGCACTTTCTCTTCTGATGGCATTGAACTTAATCATTCAAAGCGCTGCAACAAAAAAGCAGCGCAAGCGCCTCTTTAGACTTTCACGTTCCTTTTTCCGTCTTCTCGAACCCGCAAATGGTGACTCCCGTCAAGCGCCTAAGGGGAACCGGAAGTTTCTCCAGAAGCTCCTCCTGCAGCCCCTTTACTTTGCTCCAGCTCGCCCGCTCGCGAGATGTCGCTGCAGCCACGCCGCTGGTCTCGCGCTGTTCCGCCCCAGTCCGCATGCGCGAAGCGGGGCCGGGCCCGCTCCTTGTGTCGCCGCGCCGGAAGCGGAACTGACTGGGCTTTACAAAGGTTGGTTAGCAGTAACGGCGGCGGCGGCGCTGGTGGTTTTCGCTAGCGAGCTACCTGCTTTGGGTTGAGTCCATAGCGCTATGGCGGCCTCGGGCCTCCCGCCGCTCCCCCCGCAGTTCAAGCCCATCCAGCACTTCCTGAGAACCGCGCAGGAACTCGACAAGCGGGAGCCTGTGGTGGCCTATTATTGTAAGTGGAGGGGCCTCAAACGGCCCTGTGGGGCCCCGCCCACTTCGAACCTCGCAGCCTCTGCCGGAGGGGCCTTGGGGGAGTCACGCCTCCGCCTTGTCACGTGGTAGCCACCCCGCCCATCCTGCCGTCCAAATGTGCGTGCTCCTGGGCGACCTGCTGGCGGGGGGGGGGGGGGCACCGCGACGTCCTGAGTGAAGAAGCTTCTGGTTCAAGGTCCACCCACAATTCACAACCCCAGACAAGCCTCCAGTGTCCCAGCTGCAGTGCCGGGTTTACATACAGTATAAGCTAAACAAACTATAGCTTAGGGCCCCACTCTCTTGGGGGGGGGGGGCAATTATTTCATGTTATAGCAAGTTTGTAGAGTCTAGATGATGAGGCTGTGTAAATTGTGTTTCTAAAGGAACTTTTGTTATTGCCAAATGCCAATGTGTTTGCATTATCAAGTTTGTTTTGAATCAAAAATCATTTTAAGTTGTTGTTTAGTCGTGTCCAACTTTTCATGACCCCATGGACCAGAGCACGCCAGGCACTTCTGTCTTCCACTGCCTCTCGCATTTTAAGTTAGAGCTTACTAATTATTTCACTATTAATATACTTCTTAACTGTATTTCACTATTAATATACTTCTTAATTGTATTTCAGTTCAACAATTACTTTGATAAAATACATATTTTATACATTTGTGCAAATGGCTTTAAATACCTATTAGGTCCATAAATTACCATATAGCATATATTCAACTAAAAAAAAAAAGCAACAATTTGTTGTTGACAAAGAACAGCTGGGCATATAAAGGGCCCCATTACCTTCAGTACCTTAGGGCCTCATCAAACCTAAATCGGGTCCTGGGTGGGAATCAACAGTTGTCTTTCTTCCTCCCCTCCCTTTCAGGGCTGATGCAGATATAATTGGGGACACACACTTTGAACACTCTTAAAGTGCCATACAAGTGTTAAAATGCAAAGTGGTTGTGTGCTTCTCATTGTGTGTTTGTGAGTACAGTCGTACCTTGGTTGTCCAGCCGTTTGAAAACCAAAGTGCGGCTTCCGATTGGCTGCAGGAGCTTTATTCACTCAGGCCTTTCATAACTAAGCTGTGCCTTTGTGGTAGTGCTCAAAAATGACTTCTCCTTTTTATTGTGTCATTAGATAAGAATAGTAGAGTTTTTGTGTGGTACACTGTTTTAAAATTGTCTGGGTTTTAATTGTTTTTGTGTATATTTTAAGTCACTTTGAGATTTCGTATAAAGCAACTAGCAAATGTAATAAATAATAATAATAATTAACAAGCATCTCAAATTGGGGCCGGAAGCAAACTGGCAACCATTCTAGATCTTTTTAAAACTGCTTTAATGTGCATCTAGCCAGTGGTTCCTCTTTGTGTCCTTGCCACTGCATTCTGCACCAGTTTCCAGACATGTCTTCATGGGTAGCCCCATGTGGAGTGCATGGGCTATAGGAGTACATGAACCAGGAAGTTATCTAGGGTGTGAATCACTGTGGCCAGCCTTTCCTTGTCCAGGAACAGCCACAGCTGGAGCTGGAGCCACCTATACCTCCAGTGACAGTACTGGAGCCAGGGGCACCCCCAAACTACACTTGATGAACCCAGGACACTGGGATGTCCTTTAGATCTCGGCCTTTGCACAAAAGTTTACTTTCTGGGCTTTTTCTTTGAAGATGTGAGTTTCTGAGGCTTTGTTTGATAATACCATAATCTGCATACTATCTCAGAGCCAAGATAGTAAAAACTTCCTTTGTTTTTTGATAGTTGGTTGATTCTATTTTCAACTTCAATCCCCTCCCACCCACCCCATTTGCTCAACTGGAAAAATACGTTTGAGTGCCTTAGAGTTTAGCAGCTCCTTTTCTAACAGGTGTATCTGTTAGCATATATGTTATTTCCCCCCAAAATTGAGTACACGCACCAGTACAATCTTACATTGTTATAATACATTTCATGGTCTTAAAATAGTAAAGTAAGCTTTGGTTCAAGAAAAAAGCAAGTATTGCATATGCATTTTCTTTTACTGGGGGGTGGGGGACTTGGCCTGGAAAAAATGAGTTCTTCTTTTCATTACTTCAAATTTTCTGGAAACTACATCTCTATCCCTGCCCAGCATTTCAGTACATTTGCTAAGATCAGCACATTCTTCATATTTCCACTTCTTTGGTATGTTGATAGACATATACTTTGTTTTGAGTGGCTGCTCCAGAACTGTAGAACTTGGTTCCATTGCATAGTTAACTATAGTTACACTGTTCTTCAGATTATATTTATAGTGGAATTCTTTATGTGTCTCCTTTGAAGTTGAGTTTGACAAGGATTACTCACTTGAGTAGGTATGGGGTTTCAGTAGCTATAATGGTTAGGGCTGTATGGGAAAGGAGGTGGTATTGTGCTATGGTACTCATTGTGTTCAATGTTATATACTTTTCACTTTTTAATAGATTATATGCTAGGAATTTTTTCTAAAGCAAATTTTGTTCAGAACACTACATGATAGAAGAAAAATGAGCTGGTCAGAGAATGTGGAAATGTAAAAATACAATTCTTATACTAATCCATTATATCCCTGTGACTTGATTAAGTGCTGTGCAGATTGATTTTTAGAGCTACTGAATTGATAACAATATATTTCCATTGTTTTATACTCTGGTCACAATTCATGTGATTAATTACTGTTGTTCAGAACTAGTGAAGTGGCTATCAGAAGATGAGCAAATAGAAAGAAAGAGTGCCTTTACCCTGAAACCAGTTGTGGAAGTTTTTGCTGCTGGACAAGCGGGACTGAACTGGAGAACCATGCAGCCTGAGTGGTGGTTGCTGGGAGGGGGCAATTATAGCCAAGCTTTGCCTTTTTCATAGCTGCCACCCACCGAATCAACATTTTCATTGAGCAGCAACCCAAAGATCTTTTTCCTGCTTAGCTACTGCCAGTTTAGACTCCATTATTCTGTGGCCACATTCACACTGTACGCTTAAAGCATTTTGATAGCACTGTAGTTTTGTTAAGGGTGCAGAGAGTTGCTAGGAGACCCCTATTTCCTCACAGAGCTGCAATTCTCAGAATGGTTTAATGATCAGTCCCTCTTCACAGGGAACTATGGGAATTGTAGCTTTGTGATAAGTGTTTTCTGGAAAATCTTCAGTCAGAGCAATTTGCACAGGAAAATGTACATTTTGGCTTTGGAAAATGTTATAATGGCCTAGATAGTGATCTAGCTTAGGATGCTTATTTTACTTTTATTTAGTAAACATAGCTGTACTCCCTGACACTGCCAAGCTTTTGTAATTAGCATCCATTCATTGTTGCTAATGAACTTATTAAACTGGTGTTTTTTTCTGTGGAAAAAGAAAGCACTTGGCTTAATGCAGGCATGTCCAAAGTCCATCTCGGGGGCTTAATCTGGCCCGCCGGTCGGTTTAATCGGCCCTTACACGTGTTCACTTCATCAAATCTGGCCATCTTTGAAAAAAGTTTAGACACCCCTAGCTTAATGTAAGTGCTGCAAGAGCAGACCTTCTGATTTTTCGAGTGACTGTGTATCATTTTTCAGATCATGAGGCATTACTGTCAGTAGTTGTGATTTACCCTGTGCATTCTCTTGGGTTCAGCATGGAGAATAGAAGTTGTAGGAATGATGGAGAGCTGAAGATGGTTGCTTTTTGAAGTATAGTTAAATTCTGTCCGCCTTATCAATTGCAATAGAAGACTTGCAAAACTTCATTTATAGTAGCACTCATTTTTTTCAAATGTGTTGTAAAACAAGCTTCTGTATTCAGAGAACAGCATGTTCTTAGTTCATAGTTCATAACTCGCAAACTGCATATGCAAGTTATTTGATGCAGTTTCAAACACTACCCTGTCCCTCAACAGCATATAATTAATTGGGGCCAGGGCAGACATTGGCAGACTGGTACCTACAGTCATAGAATGGTGGGACATGAAGTGAATTCCAGTTTCTCTCAGAGATCATTGTGCCACCTTCCTTGCACTGCCTGTGAAAGGACAATTTGATCTCTTTGTACCACATCTGCTCCACGTTCTTTCAGTATATATTTATAGAGATGTGCAGGTCACCCAGAATAAGTGATGGTGAACTTCAGCCCTTGAATTAATTGCCAGGGAGATTAAAAAATTGTTGTTTAGTGCTTAATTATATAAAGTAACAGGATATAGAGAAAACCCATTGTGCGCAGAAAGGGCTTGTGTTCACATATTGGGTGGGGGTGCTCATTGTTTGGGCGTCACTTGATCTCCATCCCTCAAGAATGTAGGGGGACGGATCCGGGAGAAACAAATGAAACCCCCTGTGAGTTTCAAGGTACCCTATGTCCTGAAGGCATTACGTTTTGTTTCCTAGCCTCTGGAACTGACTCCATTGATGTAGAGTGTGAATGTAGAAAGAGGCATTGTAATGGTCTGAACTTACTGCATAACTTGTATTAGATGTTTTGGAGAGGGACATCCAGAAGGGAGATCGTCAGGAGGCGCTGTCATTTTTGGCAATTTTTTGTGCAATGTAGTTCACCCTAAAAGTCAGTGTGGAGTTGATAAGTTGATGACTTCAGGGTTTAAGTTACAGTGAGTTGTGAAAATGTTTCTCTGCACCACCACCCCGGCAGGGCAGAAAATGCTCCAGGAACAAGTGTGCATCAGCTTTGTTTCATTATTCATTACTTATGTTTATTCTCTAGAATAATGTTTGCTCATTTGGGAAATAAACTGTTTTAAGAACTTGTCAGCCAACTGTTAAAAGATAAAATCTACCCAGATTGTTGTGATTTCTCTCAGACTTTCTTTTAGTGTTCAGTGTGTGTAAACTCTTTAGCAGCAGTTGGAACAGCTTTCCACACGTAGGCAGTATCAGCACATTACTAAAGCAGCACATAGATCTTGAGATCTTAGTTCTTAAAAATCAAATTTTATGACATTGGTCAAACCTAGATTGTTTGCTAGGATCATGACTGCTGTGCCACTTGTTCCAAAGCACTCCCAATATGAGGATTTCAATGAAGGATATGTTTTGGAAGCTGCAAATAGTTGTCAAAGCAAATCTGTGGCTAACACATACTAATGTTAATAAATTCATTAAAAAATATTGCCATGACAAAACAAGGGTTTGACAATGTTTGTTGTATAACATTTCTTTTAAACCCGCTGGTCACTAATGCAGAGCATACTAGTTAAGATGTTTAATCTTGCCACTTCAGTGCTTGAGTAGCAAATTGAGATATATATTGTTTGCTTTTGAACATGCGCTTGCCAAGTGTTCATGTCTCTCGCAATATTGGAACACAGTCAAGTGAAACACAGTTGAATGACTAGATTGACAAACATTCTGTAACCTTTGTTTTAACATTAAATGAAGCCAAGAATGGTCTGAGAGCAAGCAAGCACAGTATATGCTGACTATAAGATTATTATTATTATTATTATTATTATTTCCTAAGTAATAATCATGTGTATTTTAAAGCTTTTTTCAATTTTCAGTGTTTTGATTTTGTACAGTACATTGTTTTGTATGCAAACACTTCTTAATTGTTGGGGTGGTGTGTTTTTTTCAAAACAAAAAACAAAATCATGTTTTGTAACCATTACTTAAAATGCTATTGTTTTGGAATGTTTAAAAGGAATGGCTCGGGAACAGGTACCTTAAAGGTAACCCTCGCCTGCTCTCAAATGAACCCGTCTTGACTTCAATATCACATCAAAGATGCTGCTCTAAGTCCAAATCCCACCCCAGCAGCTGAAGTAAGGCAGTGATGAGAGACAAGGCCTTTTCAATTTATGACATACCTTAGGAATTCACTTACCTGGTGCCATCTTTATTTTCTTTTGAGTGCCAGGTGACAATCATATTTACTAAGGCTTTATTGTCTAATGCTGGAATTTTAAACTACAGTAGACACTCGGGTTGCGAATGTGATCCATGCGGGATTCGGCGCTTCTGTGCATGCGTGACCACCGAAACCCAGAAATAACCCGTTCCGGTACTTCTGGGTTTCGGTGGTCCGCAACCTGAAAAAATGCAACCTGAAGCAGCTGTAACCCGAGGTATGACTGTTCTCTCTTATATGTTTTTATGAGTTTGTGACTTCTCTAAACTGCTTTGAGAACTACAGCTGAAGAGTGGTTAACGGATAACTTAAAGTAGAAATAAAAACTGATTTCTTAAAATGGTTTAAAATTTAATGTTAAGTTTTAGATCCATTGTATTAGTACTGTTTTCTACTCAGGCTAATTTTTATACATCAGAGTCCAGAGCAGCTCCTTTTTCTATGGTATTTTATTATTTATTATTATTATCGCTCCTAGGAAACGTGGCTGAATGCAAGAGTTTGTCTTTAAGTTGCCAAAACATATTTTTTAGAAAAACATGCTGGTTTGAAATCAGTCTTCCTGATTTTACTTCGTAAATACAAAGTAGGTTTTGTAAAGTATTTTAAAGTTGAAACACCCATGGTTTCAGCTTATATTTTCTGAGGCACTGCGTATATTCATCATCCCTGGGCATAATTTCATTTCTTTACATCATCCCTGAGTATAATTTCGTTTCTTGTTCAAAATCATGCCAGTGGAAACTGTCACTCCAGTCATTTGCCACTATCTTGAAGAGTTTCTTCAGCAGCAGCTGAACAAAGATGAGTGGTGGTAACACTACAGATAGTAGTACCATGTGAGGTATGGAGCATACTTCAGTCACCTGCTTTGGCCACTTTGGAGTGCTCTGAATTGAGAAGAGAGGGTGAGAAATACTCCTTGAGAAAGCTAGGCAGCTCAATATACTGCACAGTGTTGCCTGCCCTCTTTTTGTCCTACTCTCACTGACTGCTTCACTTGCTCACCCCCTCCATTTCTTTTTTCACTTTGTCGTACTCAGGATGTTTCAGCTAACCTTCCAGAAGTAGGACATTCCATAAATTTGGAACATCTACTGAGAACATGGCTGAGATACAAATAGCTTCATTAGATATGCTCTAGGATTCGGGCATTTCCACTGGGGTTTTTATTTGCTCCCTTGAGCAAACAGCAGGCTGTCACACAAACTGTTTTGGAAGATCCTTCCAGCTTCAGAAGTTTGCCATGCGACATGACACACAACGGACAGGTTGAGAAGAGCTTTTGTGTTGAGAAATATATGCTGAAAGCCCATGGGGAAGCAAAACTAGTTGCACGGTTGTTTAGATTAAGGTCCCTGTTTTGCTTTTAAATCTCACTGAGGTACAGGAGATAGTACAGTGGTACCTCTGGTTAAGAACTTAATTTGTTCTGGAGGTCTCTTCTTAAGCTGAAACTGTTCTTAACCTGAAGCACCACTTTAGCTAATGGGGCCTCCTGCTGCTGCCGCGCCGCCACCACACGATTTCTGTTCTCATCCTGAGGCAAAGTTCTTAACCAGAGGTAATATTTCTGGGTTAGTGGAGTCTGTAACCTGAAGCGTATGTAACCTGAAGCGTATGTAACCCGAGGTACCACTGTATTTATTAGTGACATTCATTAAGCTTTATTTTTTACAGGCCGTTTGTATGCTATGCAGACAGGTATGAAGATTGATAGTAAAAACCCAGAGTGTCGCAAATTTTTATGCAAGCTCATGGATCAGCTTGAAGCTGTAAGTAGTTTTGTTGCTGTATTGTTAATTTTTGGCACTTGTATATAAAGAAGATTTCACGGAGAATAAATTGACCATAATGCTAGTGAATGTTCCACAAGAACACACTTAACAAATGCAGTGCACAACTAATCAGGCCTAATAAAGCATTGTATGTTCATAGTATTATTTACTGCAGTAAGGTTTAAATTTGACTGCTAGATATCTCACATAGTTCCTGTATTGTTACATTCTGGCTCAGTTTCGATTATCCTACAAACCATCGTTTGGAGTATTGATTCTTCAATACTACAAGAAAGTCTCATTGAAACCAGTGAGACTTGATTCAGAGTAACTCTGGTTAGTATAGGGCTGTGGGAGTGTGTGCTGCCTCCTTTGCATCCTTGATAAACAAGGGAAGAGGCAAGGGATGAATATGAAGTACATGAGGCCATGACATGTTCCCAACCCTTAATTCAAAGAAACAGAATGTGATCTAAACTGCCCACTGTGTGCTGCCAGTTTATAGATGTCTGGCCTCTAAATTTTGTTTCTGTACTACTTGCAAAATAGACTGACCTCCCAATGTTTTCTGTACACTCTTGGCAGCTCAGGAAATATAAGGGTAGTCTAATATCCTTGGTTTTTGTTTTGTAAGACGAAACTAAGGTTTCTTTAAATGCCAACAGTAAGTCTATTCAGGAGCCCTAAATCCACCTGTTGTAACTGTAACAGTGTTATTTACTTTGCTGATTTTATTAGGAAACCTGAAGCTTCTTGTACTCTGTAACATCTTTGAAATGAGGTCTTTGAATCGCAATGCACTGCTTGACTAAGCAGTACCGTAAATCTTCAGGTCACTAGAGCAGTTAGGTTGAATCAGGGACTCTCATTTCATTAGCTCTTTATTCATATTAAATGTTGCAATCTGAATTACAGGAGGCAACTATTGAGTCCTATTGACCTTCCCTGCCTGTGACACAGGTTATGAGTTATATAGTGTTGACTCTTTATACAAAGTTTTATTAAGTGCGGGTTAGGGAGGCAAAAGTGTTGTAGAACTTTTAGAAATCTGAACTGTGGCAGCTTAGCCACAGTCTGACTCTGTGGCACAGTATGTTGTTGTTTGAAAATCCTGAATATGTTTTGCTTCAGTTTTTTTTAAGGTTCCTAGTTTTCATGGTTATGGATTAAATAAAGTTTTAAAACATTAGGCAATAAAAAAAACCAGAGTGAGGATAAATGGTGATGACTGGTACTTGGTGGCTGCATGGTGCCTATCCTGTACAAGCACTCCTTCCTTTGTAGCATGTGCTTCATTCCTTAGTTTGCAATGTATATTCAGTTGCTAAAAATATATTCGCCAGCACTCCACATGCCCCCCACCAAATAGATTGCACAAATAAAAATATTTGCTTAATGCTGTGAGGAGCTCTCCCACATAAGAAATTTGGAATGAGTGTATGTTACACATCACCACTAAGTTTCTGCCAATAACACTTGATAATGTTGATCTACATGGTTAGCAACACTTAAAAGAGTTGCAGCAAGTACCAGAAGTCTCTTCTTGGTGGCCTCCCCGTGTCAGGAGTAATTTGTTCAGAAAGTGGCAGATATATAGCCAGATCAAATGGGGGATGAGGGGTTATTGTAACTTTTTGGTGCTTTTATCTTGTGAACTGCCCTGAGATCTTCAGATGAAGGGTGGTATATTAATTTAAATAGATAGACAGACAGACAGACAGACAGACAGACAGACAGACAGATAGATATGGCATGGGGCTCAGTTAGCTATAAGAACAATGAGTGAGAAAAGGGCAACAAGTTTAATGGTTCTCACTGAGCTAGGAAACCTGTGTGTGTGTGTTGCATGTAGGTCAAGGATCAAATAGTAGAAAGCTTTCCCAAGGAAAAAAGAATAGTTTCTATAAACAGAAAACTAGCATGTCAAGGAATCATCTAGGCTAGAACTCTTCTCTTAACACCTTCCTTTCTTTGTGGAGGGATTTTTCTGTATGGAAGAGCATTCAGATATGCAAGTTCTTACCTACTCTCTGAGGTGGCATAGCCAATTTACCAATTTACTGGATGCTAAATCAAGGGCTAGTAGGAAATCTCTATATTGGCACCCTCCACAGCACAGGGAAGCAGAGGGAACATGCAAACATATGGCTAACTTGTATTAACAGGAATGGTGTTTAAGAACAGAGTTAGTCTTATTTTCTCATTGAAGGCATGATTGAATCCGAGAGTGCTTGCAGCTGTGTTGGTGGCTTCAGGCTATACCTTTGAGAATTAAGAATCTAAAATATGCCCTTGCAGTTTCATTTCTCTGGCCTAGTAATTAACCAAATATATCTTTAAATTTTCTCAGACAAAGAAGCAGTTGGGTGATAATGAAGCTATTACTCAGGAAATAGTTGGCTGTGCCCATGTGGAGAATTATGCACTGAAAATGTTTCTTTATGCAGATAATGAAGACCGAGCTGGGCAATTTCACAAGTAAGTGGGGGGAAAGAGGCAATGTATACGGTAACACCTAATTGAAATAAATATAAAATTGAAGTAAAGTAGTAAAAAGGGACCCCTGACCATTAGGTCCAGTCGTGGCTGACTCTGGGGTTGCGGCGCTCATCTCGCTTTATTGGCCGAGAGAGCCAGAATACAGCTTCCAGGTCATGTGGCCAGCATGACTAAGCTGCTTCTGGCGAACCAGAGCAGCTCACGGAAACGCCGTATACCTTCCTGCCGGAGCGGTACCTGTTTATCTGCTTGCACTTTGACGTGCTTTCGAACTGCTAGGTTGGCAGGAGCAGGGACTGAGCAACGGGAGCTCACCCCATTGCGGGGATTTGAACCGCCAACCTTCTGATCGGCAAGTACTAGGCACTGTGGTTTAACCCACAGTGCCAAGCAAAGTAACCTTGCAGTTAAATATAAAACAATTGACCAGCATATGCTCATTTATTTATATGATGCAGAAGATCTGTTGGTCTGAATGATCAAGGTTGCAGAACGAGGTTGTAAGCATTGGGGAGTGGGGTGGCCATCTGTTGTCCTCTGTGATAAAATAATGCCTTCTTTCACATGCAAATATCTAAAAAAGATTCATTTTTGTTTTGTTTTTAATCTTACTGAGAAACTCAAATTGTTTTCCCCCCCAGAAATATGATCAAGTCTTTTTATACCGCAAGTCTTCTAATAGATGTCCTGACTGTGTTTGGAGAACTAACAGATGAGGTAAGTTACACGGTTAAGCAGTATATGTCATTAATTGCATGAAATAGAGAAACAGATTTTTGTTTCTAGTCCAGCTAAACTTAGTCATGACTAAATCTCATTCAGAGCAATAGGACTTCAGTTAGCTGTGACTAACTTGTTCCATTTGCTTCTGTTGCACATAGTCACAAGGTAGTTTTTTCTGTATTGTTGCTTTTCTGTGTTAGAATATAGTCCAGGATCCATAATTATTTTGCCTCAGGTTCAGGAATGCCAGTAGGATTTTTGACTTTGAAGAGCAGATCTTTGGATTACAAAATGCCTTTGGAAGTTTTCTGAGTTACACACAAGTTTGCTATATGACTTTGGGAGCAGCAGTTTGAGAAACAGAAGCCATGCAGTCCACTTGGCTGCACAGAACTTGCACAGTTCTTAGGATCCCAGTTTACTATTTTCTTCACAGAATAGCAGCTGCTAATTGCAGTTTTTACAGTAGCTTTGAATAGAACTGAAAAGTAGCAGAGTTTAGCATTCAGAGTTAGCGGCATTCAGATGGTTTAAAGTGAGGGAAAGAAGAAAACCAGCATTCTGCACACTTCTCATTTGGTATATAAAATTGGAGGAAGTGACAGAATTAAGGAACTAAATGAAATGGATCAAAATGAAATTTTTAGTTCTTAATGATAAGATTTTTAATTTCTTTTGAAAAAGCAAAATAGTAAGTAGGTGGCTGAGAATCCAGTTCTTTGGAAAATATAACTATGATCAACTAAACCGAGATCTCAATTCATACTAGCTTTGATTTTAAGCCAAAGACCCTCATTTCTCTAACCAGGTATAATTTTATATTTATTTGGGTGTTGTTTTAGCCCTGAAGGACTCAAGGCAACGGGCGGGGGCAGGGTATTTAGGAAAGGGTCTTGTATTCTGTATTGTCAAGGCAGTTAATAGTTTTGGTTATCTTTTTATCATGTTAAATGTACTCAGCTTTTTGAAATGAGCCATCATTTATACATTTGTTTATCTATTGCATTTGTGAATTTTCCTGCCGTCTTGCAGAGCCCAGGGCAATGTATAAAGAATAGAACAGCAAGATACATCTAATAAATAAACATAAATAACCAAATAGAACTAGAATATATCCATACGATCAGGGCAGTAAAAACACACTAATACCTAACAGCTGTAGATTGGTTTAACCCATCTGACTTCATTTGTAAAAACTTAGGTAAACAGAAATTACTTCAGCTGATGTCTAGTCAAAGCAAGGAGGAAGGCCTTCCAAATAAACGTTAAAATTGTACAGGCGTTTTGATTGTCCTGTAGTTGATTTTACACTAGTTATATGTGAAAATGAATTGTAATGGAGTGGAATGCACTTCTTAATAGCTATTGGATCACCGAGAAATATATCTCATTAGTCCTCTGCAAGGGACAATACAGACATAAAATATACTTGTGATTCAGGAACTGGGAACAAACAGTGGGATCTTGCGCTGGGACTAGAGGGCCTTATATCTAACCTGGACTAGCATTATTGACAAGAAATGAAATTTGCATAAGAAAAGAAAGGGCCAAAGTGCAGTAGTGTGTTCAACAGTATGGCTCCACTATTGGTTGCCCCAGGGAATAGTTGGGGGAGTATTGGGAAGAGAAACTAAGATACTTCTTTTTACTGCCAGCTACTTCCGTTCCCCCATTAAAAACTGCTTGTCTTCAGAAGAATTAGACCCGTAAAGCTTTAAATGTGTTAGGAGAAATGTAATGAGTGTATTTTAAAAGAATATGCCATAGACATTCACTGCCGTTAAGCCTGTAAGCCTGTTACTTATATCAGAAATAGAATCATTTCATAACCATTGGTCACCATTAGGACTAGTCTCTAGAAGGTCCCATTTGAGACACTAACTCTTAAAAAGTTGATGAAGATCCAGATATCATATATTGCACAATAAGCCTTGGGTACTTAAGGTAAAAGGCTGTTACTGCTTTGTGCAAAGTGGTAGATTTAGTTGATGAAAGGACCTAGAGATCCAGGAAAAACCTGGCAGCTAAGTAGATTGTATGTTAAGAATGGAAGATGTGTCAGATCATGCTCTAGGCATTTTTTTAAAAAACAAAACAAAATAATTTTTTTTAGCCACACTTTTGCTGGAAGATCTCAGTGATTGTAAAGGAGGGTTTGGAGGCTTGCATGCAACTTGTGCCTATTAAGCGACCCATCCCTGGTTTTAAATAACTGGAGTAAATATAATTTGAGCAACTTCTCAAGGCAGATTTCTTATTTAAACAAAGACTATTTTGGCTGAACAGGATTAGAGTTAAGTATGCCTAATAAAAGGGAGAAAATGGAAACCATCATGAAGACTACTTTAAAATAAAGATGTGTGCCAGCTCCCTAGTTAATTTCTCTTGCTTACACATGTTCACCAGGAGGTTTAGTCGGAGGCATGCTGGAACAGATAAATTCTAAACAAGATGTTCCATTTTCTGGCATGTCCTTCGGAAAATAAATTTGAAGGAATTGTGCAAAATGGTCAAAATTAAGAGGCCCAGATGGAAAAATATGTCAGAAATGTTGAAAGCCTTGTGCAGAAGTATAAAATTCATAAAGTTGGTGTAGGCGAATTTCAAAGCTAGTCAAAGGGGTTCTGGAATGACTATAAAATTAGTTAAACCCATGTTAAAGTAATTCACATCCCAGAAGCAGGATACATGAACTTGTTGTAATTTATGAAAAAGGCCTGCAGCTCTGAGATTGAAGAGCCTTTTTAAAAAAAAATGAAAATCCTAACATATCTTTACAAAAACCAGAGTAAGAAATCAAAATGGTTAGCATAAGTACATTGTAATAATTTCCCGCTAGAAAATGTTTTGGTGGTAGAATACTGCCTATTGCAGCTAATTTATAGTACATGCTTGTAAAATAGCTAAATCGTAACGTTATTTTGCACATTCAGAAAATATGTATCAGTAAACTAGTCTCTTCATTCAGTGCCTCCCTGAGGTTAGAGGGATGATTCCCATTGAGATTCAAAGTCATGACCTTCCCTCCTCAGCAGCTACAAATGTTCCAAGGAGCAAATAACCCAGCATCCGTAAGAACTAGACTGCATTCCTGTTATTGTGACTGTTTCCTGTTAAGACGTATTTTGGAAAGAACCAGCTCATGGAGAGTAGAAATTAGAGAAAACTAATATGCTTCGGTATTAAGTGCTACAGAACAGCGAGAACAAAGAGAAAAGAGAGGGAAGGTTCAGAAATGTTTTGCTTGTGTCCAGTGTCTGTTGATTATTGGATAGCTAGCAGTATGTTGCAAGCCCTAAGTGCTGAACTAAAAAACAACTATATAGCCAGAAGCACTTAGTAGTTGCTGAAGGTATTAATGGGGGGGGGGATGCAGGGAAGCCCATCTCAGGAGCTCATTCTGTTGTGCTTTATCAAAGCAATACCTATTTCAGCTTCCCAAGTGTTGAATCAGAGTGTGAAACAAGCCAACCAACCTATGGCAGTCATTTAAGAAAAAGTACTTCACAAGTATGTTGTTATTTAAGAGACTTGGAGCTAGAGAGGAACCAGTGGAAGGGGTATAGAAAAAGGTGTTTTTTCTCGTGCTGGCAGCCTCCACCCCAAAAAGCCTCTCCTAGGAGTCAAGAAACAGTTCCTGAATGGGGTAGGCTTGATGCAAAAGGAGGGGACGATAATTGAAAATGGGGCAAAGGCACCTTCCCCAAGTGGGAGCCTCTTTAAATAAAAACATGTGAAGTTACGATTTTCAAACAAGTCCTGTAGGCTGTTTCTCATTTGGACCGAAGATTTGGGAGGCTGAAGAACATACTGTCTTGATAAAGAATGAAGCCCTGAAATTGGTGTCTATGCATTTTTTCCCCCAGTCACACTTTTAGCAACTCACAATTCTAGCTAGTTCTTTCCCAGCACTTTAGATCCCCCCCCCAGCCACCTTCTGCCAGTTCTTCTCTGGCTCCAAGCCAATAAGCGCAACAATATTGCTAAAAGCAACAATTGCATTGACAAGTAAAAACCCTGAAGGATGTTCCAGATGTTTATGTGGAAGGCACCAAGGACTTTGTTTGTACATACATGCTCAACACTTGGTGACTGCAGCATAAATGAAAGAACTATTGTACATCAAGCCCCACAATCAGATATCTTTGATCACCAAGGCTGCGATCATTTTTAGTGAAATCAGTATGGACATACAAGCAGTAAGTTACCGAGTTGTTGAAGCATCATGGGATATAAATACAAGATGGACCAGTCTATTTCGTCTTTTCATGGCTTGTATTATGCTGTCACTTACAGATTGCATGTTTTAGAACAAATCTGTAGGCTCAGTAGTCTATAGGTTTGTTCTAAAACATGCAATCTGTGTTGGCAGGCATTAATACCAAAGTTATTTCTTAAGAAAACATAGCAGAACATAGCCTCTTCACATCCAGATCCTAGCACTTAAATTCTAGCAACCCTCTCCTGTACAAGTTATTAAGCACCCTCCATGGACTTTAACACTAAAACTCATTTTATAATTTTTATATAAGGAAGTATTTTATGCAGTAAATTGCTGTTTTAGCCACAGAAAATGTCTCTATAAAATAGGCCCATGCTAGATTAGAAAATCAAGAAGCAATCAACAAAGACCAAAGTTATAAAGTTTCTGGTTTTATAAAATGTGCTTTGACATTTGTTTTGAAATGTAGGAAAAATACACTATCCAGGAAACACTAGGTACAGAGAAATCCCATTGGCAGCCATTTCTAAGTTATACTGGATTGAGCCTTTGACTGCGAGTCTAAATAGGAAACATTGAGATAATGGGATCCAACCGCCCCCTGCTCAGTACAGAATCTGCAGTGCAGGAGGCATCTACAGCATCGCTGACAGTCCGTCCAGTGTTCAACACTCAATCAGTTTTTAATGTCTTACAAGAAGGAAGGAGAGAAATGATTTTCCGAATCTCTTTGCTGTATTGTATTTCTGTATTTTTGCCTTCTGGTGTTTGCTGTTTTGTGATGTTATGTTCATATTGCATAGAATTGGTTATCTCGTGGATGGCAGAGGTGTCCAGGCAAGTAATGCTGGTTCCCTTGCAGCTCGGAGACAGGGAACACCTCTCCTCCTATTTAGGCTCAGTATGTTTCCTGTATCAGTTTGGAGCACTTCCTGCTAGTTACCTCTTTATCCTAATAGAATATTTTTCTGATTATTTGCTCTCTCAGTCCTCCTCCCCTGTTATATTCTCTTTCATTGTTTAACAGTTGTCAAACAAATAAACCATTTTCCCCCTCCCTGTCTTTTCTCTCCCCACTCCTGGCAGACAAAAATGGCTTTTTTAATGCCTATAGCCCTTGCTTCACAATCCAAAGCACCACCTATTAAACTAAAGGCATAGCAAGGGTGTGGGCTGTACTCAGTAGCCACAGTGAGTTCCCAGTCACTGGAATCTTCTGCCTCTGCCGTGGCCGCCATTTTTATCCGCAAACAACCCTGAGGAGGAAACTTCCCAAGGCACCTGTGAAGGTGCTTTCTTGGTGACCAGCAATGGCCCTATTGCTGACAACATGGCTGTGGTCCCTTGCTCCATAGTCTGCCCCCACCCCTCCATAGTAGCCCAGCTCTATGAGAATATCTGCTTCCTGTGCAAGGGCCTTGCTTCAGGCACAGTAGCCACAGTCTCCATCTGAAAACAGGAACTGTTATTCTCAAATGAGGAACCTGTAGAAGGTCTTCTGTTGAATGTGGGTGTTTCCTTTCCGAGCTCCAAGCACTACCCGCTTGGAGACTCCTGGTAATCTTTGAACAAGTACCATTTATGGTAAGAACAACTATTCCTTTTTATGTTTCCTTTACTTTTGCCAGAAAGTTGGAATATAAAATGCCTTAAATTAATTAAAGAAAGAAAAATCCATTTCTGTGGAAAGCATGAATAAGAAGGTCTATCAGAAGGATTTGTACCGGTGGGTTCTAGCAAAGTGGTATAACTCTAAATATTTAGAATTTAAAACTTTCTTTTCCTTGTATTATTTTGCAGCCCCAAGCTTCCACATACTAAGAAATCAAATAATCTAATAATAAATGTCTTGCTTTATTTTGTAGAATGTTCAACACAGAAAATATGCCAGGTGGAAGGCAGCTTATATTCATAACTGTCTAAAGAATGGAGAAACACCACAATCTGGACCTACTGGAATGGAAGGGGAATGTGAGTAACTATTTTGTGATATCGAATATTGCTTATAGTTTTGATTTATCTTTAAAGTAAACATCTTACATTTAAATGATGCAAGAAGTTCAAGCAGTAATTCTGCATAATTATTCAATGTAAAGTCAGTCAGTCCCACTTACCAGTGTTTAGGTCAGTAGATGCAAAGGTGCTAATATGACTGAGAAGTATTAATCTTCCACTTCATTTTCTTTTATTGCATATGCTGGGCAATGCAGAAGAGGAGGGTTGCCATCCTTTCCTCTCTTGTTAATGATTGCATCTGTTTAGACTCTAGTTGGCCCTAGTTACATTATCTTGGCTGGTTTCATTGATTTTCTTGGCTTGAGAGAAAACTGCTGAGTGTTTTGCACATTTAATTTTAATAGCATTAAAAATATTCTGTTAGAATTATTAGACGGTTGTCTTTGCTGTCTTGGAAAACATTTTTGACCATAGACCTGTGTCTGAATGTTTACTCCTTTTTTAAAAAAAATAGCATTGATATTTAAAATACTCTAGATTACCTGTTTTCTTTTTTGCTGTTGTGTTTATGTGCTCTTTTTACTTTATCTGTAGGATAACAACTGGTAAAATCATATTTAAAGGCTGTTCATATACAGTAGTTCCATTTTACGTGTCACATAACCCAGAAGGTTTAGGGTCTCTTTAGTGCCAAACTTCGTATGGAAATGCATTTGTACTCCAAAATACCCAAAGAGCGTCTCATAATTCTTGCTTTGTGCATTTGGGAAAGAAAAGCAGCATTGTTTAAGTGTACTGGAGGACTTCCCCCATTCCTTTCTGCTTGCTCACTTTCTTCTCTCTTCTGCAAGTGGAAAAAGTCAGTCTTGAAACAGAATGAAACTAACTTTCTGTATCTTGACAAAATTCCATGTTTTCTAAAAGTGTTATTCTCCCTGTAATTCTTGAAAACCATATTGTAAATATTTGCACTGTGACATGTCATTCTGTATCTGGTTTTGTTCTGGGACTTACTGAAGCACATCTCTATGCCCTAGCATAGCATCTTATTCCCTGGGGATATATGTTCAATTAAAATAATCATAGTGATATTAGTCTTTCATTGTGCAGTGTTAGAGAGTGTTTTTGGTGCAGATGATGAATGTTGATCTCTGTACCTCAAGTCATCTGTTAGCCTAAACTTTGCCTTCACACTCTTCTACGTGTAAGGGAGCATATAATCTTCCAGGGCGGTTCTTTTGTTTATCCTCCCAGTGATATTGTAAAGTAGTTTAGGCTAGAATACATTGATTTGCAGGCAATGGTATGAAATATGTATAAATTTGCAAGTAATTTCACTACTGTTTAATGGGGTGGGGAAAATCAACATGCCTCTGTTCTTTACCTACAAGATGATGAAAATGAAGAGGTTGGGTCCCCTGCTCCATTGAACCCAGGATCTCACTCACCTTCTGCGTTTGAATCAAGTGATGTGCCCACAAGCAACTACACGGGCATACAAATCCCACCCGGTGCGCATGCTCCAGCTAACACTCCCGCTGAAGTGCCTCATAGCACAGGTAATGTTCTTTACATATGTTCAGACCCATTAGTCTCATTTGTTGGATTTCGTCAAATGTGTAATACAGTCGTACCTTGGAAGTCGAACAGCTTAGTTCCTGAACATTTTGGCTCCTGAACTTCACAAACTGGGAAGTGACTGTTCCAGTTTGCGAACTTTGCCTTGGAAGCCGAACATCCAACGGGGCTTCCGCAGCTTCCAGTGGGCTACTGGACCTTCCTGCAGCAGCCAATCAGAAGCCATGCTTTGGTTTTCGAACATTTTGGAAGTCAAACGGACTTCTGGAATGGATTCCTTTAGACTTCCAAGGTACGACTGTAATTTACAGCTTAAGTGAAGTTGAGCAGTATAAAATTAAAAGAGCAATGATATTATATAAAACAATATACGACACCATATTAGTTATAGATGTTCTTCACAATTTTTTTTCCAATTCAACTTTATGTTACTGGTCTATAATACTTTTCTTGCTTGCCTATTAATCCTCTGCCATAAAATAAAATTAAGTTATCAATTAAGCAAAGGTAACCACAAGAACAATCAGAGGCAAAAAGTTTGTATGCATTTGGGATGTGGTATACTGACACTTGAATTGCATGGTTTGGATCCAAAGACCTGTGCAACTATTTCTGCACACGTATTTTTTGAACAGCAGCTACTCATGCTACACAGAAAGCTGCAACTCAGTAGACTTTTAAGAACTGGTTTGTGATAGGACAAGAGGTTTTCCTGTTCATAGAGGAAAAGCTCACAAATCCTACTGGCCACACCCAAGACTTTAGCCATGCTTAAAGAAAGTAACTCTTTGCATCTTGGCCTACAAGTCCTATTTTTTCTTTTTCTTTTATACATATGAAAGGAAAGGTTTGGCAACAGAGATGTGGATTTTCTTGGGGGAAATGTAATCGGAAGGTTTGCAGTAGCCAAAAGCAAGGTTAAATTAAACACTGGTACGTCTGAAAAAATAAAATAACATCATCTTGACTTTGTATGTTTAAACAAATTTAGGGATGGAAAATTTGAAATGCCCATATATAAACACTAACGCACACTTACTTAGGAGTAAGCACAGCTGAGAAGTGGGATTTCTTCTGAGTAAATATTCTTGGGCTCACACTATTAGCATTGTGAGTTGGTAAGAAGGTTGTTGTGGCTTTTTAAAACATTCACTTAGGTTTTAACAAAGAGGATCTCTTAATTTCTTTCCAATTTTCTTTCAACACAGTAAAGTGGTCTCAGACCAGGTATTTCTGACCCTTATGGAGCCAAAGGAAGGCTGCTCAGATGGTACTTAGTTCTATAAACTTGTTCAACACAGAATGTCGTGTGCACCTACCATGTGTTATTTTTATGAATCCCAGAAGGCTGGTATTAAGATATCTACATGGGGCTATTATTCCAAAATGGTCTGGAACATAATATCCTCACAGAGAATCTGTGAAGTCAAATAGGAAGACAAATGATTTGCAAATGTTGATATAAATATACAAATCTCTTTTTTGTTACAGGTGTAACAAGCAGTACAATCCAACCCACACCTCAGAATATTCCCATAGTAGATCCTTCACTTTATAATGTCCAACCTACAGGTAAGCCCCACCCGCTATGATCTGCATAATTCAAAAAGGATTGGGTGCAGCCTGCATTAAAACAGAGTTTCGTACCTAAAGCTAGAAGCACATCTATTTACTTGAAAGCAAGTCTTGCTGAGTCCAGGGAAATCTACTCACAAGTAAGAGTATTTAAGATTATAACCATCATTATACTCTTGAACCGGGAATTCAAGTTACGTTTGCAGAGTAGCAAAAGTCTTGCCCATGTAACTGAAAATACTCCTTGGACTAGACATTCCAGCTTGTGCCTGAGAGGTAATGAAAGTGGCCTTGCAGGAATAATAATATGTGAAAGCAATTTTTAAAAGAAATTTAACCCCCACCCCCACCACTGTAGACCTTGGATATTCGGTAATTTTACAGCTAACTGAGGAGTATGTTTTCAAATACTTTCTCAGAACAAGCCTCTGTGTCCTGTGGACTATAAAAATGAGGAGAGGATGAAGGGCGCCAGCACTGAAAAATTGGCTGAGGCTAAAATTCTTCCTTTAACCACTGTTAAGTATAGGTTAAAGGCTGCCCTATTGTACAGGCATCAGAATTGGCCTATCAACTTTGCATTGTCTGCCTGCTAGTTCATACTAAATGTTTAATTTTCCAAGTTATTAACCAGAATCAGACTGTTGATACTGTGTTGTCATTATATTTGTTTGACTAGGAAACTAGGGCTGGTGAAATTATGTGCCGCAGAGTTTCTCTACTAACCTTTCTCCAAGAACAGCCATTCTGTGGGTGTGGCATAAAGCTGCCCAGCAATAATGTGCTGATAAAATAATGCATTGGCAGACAGATGTGATTTGGGGCCTAGGGTTGTCTAGCTATACAAGAACTACTGCTGCAATCATTTTTGTAACTGGCATGCAATCCCTTGCACTTTAATTCCATATACATATACTGTTACATGCTGAGTTCTACAATCTGAACCCCACTCCATAATCTCCCATTCACCAATAGGAAGTAGTTTTTATTTCTCCTTGTGCAAAGCACCTTCAGCAATATACTCTTGTGTGTTCTTATTCAATGTGATAATGCAGTAATTATTGCTATTGTACCATCAATGCTCACAGTGCTTTTACACAGCACAAAAGGCATGTCCCTGCCCATAAAGTTTACAGGCTATAATTTGATACAGAGGAACAGAAAGGGAGGAAAGTAAAGACAGGGGTAAGCAGGAAAAGAATGCCTTATTTCAGTTACATGTACTTAGACTTGGTTACAGTAGAGTATTTATGGGGTTGTGCTAACGGCATCACTGAACAGATGGGATTTGAAAGAACACTCAAAGTGTCCTGGGATGGAGTTCCAAGCAGAAGAGGCAGCAAAAGGAGGGCGGGGTCATTTGAGGGTGATGGAGCTGGAGTGAAGGTCACAGGCATGGATGTATATGGACTATACAAACATAATGTGTACCTGGAAAATCAGGAACTGGGTTTGCAAAAGGGCATTGGATAGCAGGTATTGATCTGGATTTGTGCATCTACCACTTGAGACAATGCACGCAATTATCTTAATGGATCAGATGACGTAGGTTGTAGCTTCAAAAGCTTATGTCCCAGCAATTTAAAAAATAATAATAATTAAGGTACCACATGACTCTGTTTGCAGCCACAGATAAATGTAACTACTGTTCTGGAATAAAAATATGCTTTTCAAGCAAATTCTGTAATCTCAGAGGAGCAAGTGTGAAGCCAGTTTTTAAACAGATACAAGTTTTGTCAGACACCAGTTTTCATTTTAAAAAGCTTTCCTTCCGTGTTAGTCTAATTTCTTTATCCCTGATCTAAATGCATTTTCAGTTTCCATATCAGGCCCTTAACTGCCTAGCTGAAAGGTTCATATTTGGTGGAAGTTAACTCTGCACTGTCACATTTCAAGTAATGAATATAACTACTATACCAATATTATCCTTGGATTTGAAGAGAGTCTGGCTTCTTTCAGGCTGCATAAAGCACAGCTTCACCCATGTGTCAATATTTTTGGTATTTCAGAATTTAGTCCTTTCAAATAATGCAGATTTAAAAGCAGCTAGCATGTAAGCTAACTTTCTAAATGTTCATTTTTTTGAAATAACTCCAGTTTTCTCTCCCTTTCATTTACAAATATTATAAACCCTTTCCTGAAATGTTGCTATAATGGTATCTGAAGTGGGCCTCAATAATAATAAATAAGGCCTGTTGCCAACAGAACATGTAATAGAGTAGGTACTGTAAAAATAAGATTAGATTGGTTAATTTAGGCTTTGTTCCAGAAAATCAGTTGAATACTGGACTGATGCCTTGGCTGTTTTCTAAAAGAATGATTTTCAAGTTGCTTTTGGCATCATAATATGAAAAAACAAAATGTCCTCAAGATGGTCTTTGGGGTAATTTGTTCTTGCTGTGTTTTTCAAAAGGAGGAGAGGTCACTATTGACTAAATGTTAAATGTGAACTTGAACAGTCATCAGTTTGTGCACGTCACAGTTGGAACTGTGTTAGTATTTTAAATTAGGAAAGTAATATAAGTCCTGTGTATTCAGCATTGAACTTGGTCTATTTGACAGTGATTGAGTATTTTACACAATAATTAGTGTAACATTTAATGCTCTGATAGAATGGCTAGTTTATAGTCCATGCATTTGCCCTATGGCCTTAATGTGTGGATTCTGAATTTGGCTAACCCACCCTATGATGACCTGGGGAAATCCTGTTCCACCCTGGATCCTGTCCCAAATTAGTTCAAGTGTGGGGCTAATGTTTGTTTAGGGTTTTCAAAAACCCTAATTCAACATTCATGCATCAATTTAATGGGGTGCTCTTTCTCAAAGCAGCACCCTTGACCAGGCAGGGCAGATGCCTCCGTTGAACAGCTGTTCTAAAATTGAATCCTAGACAACACTCCAGACAAGCTTCTCTCAACCTTGGGTCCCCAGATGTTCTTGAACTACAACTCCCATCATCCCTGACCACCGACCATGCTGGCTAGCAATGATGGGAGTTGTAGTCCAACAACATCTAGAGACCCAAGCTTCAGAAAGGCTGCTCTGAACAAACTTCACAAGCAAGTCTGCAGTCCCAAACACACTTAACTACTGAGTACCAGAGCAACCCAACCAACCCCCCCAGTCAAGGGAGTGGTGAGTGAGTTTGAATTAAACAGAGGTGTATCTCCTCCCAGCCCTGCTGGCATCTACCAGCCACTGTCTACAGGGTGACACCAGTGTGGCACACACTGGCACACACCTTTCCCTTCTGCCAGCAGAACGCTGAGGCAGAAAACAGTGCCACCTGTGGGATCCCTGCTGGCAGCAACCAGCAACAAGCCCCGAAACAGAGTATACGAAGCATAGGTAGCCAGCTGGGGATCCATTGGATCCTGAGCCTTTCCTGCTGTTATCAAGTAACAGCATTGGGCCCAATCACTGCACCAACTCCAGGCTGGCATGCCTACTCTTCCCCACCTCAGCCATTTTGCACAGCCATTGTTCCACCACTCTGTTCAGTCCCACCAGGCAGTATTCAGGATTAGGAATGCCCCCTAAACCTCAGGTGGACTAATTGGACTTGTATCTGAGTAAACATGCCTAGGATTGTGATGTCTAGCAAAATACAGCAAGTAGTGAAATAAGAAACACCAGTTTTTAAAGGCAGCTGGCCTAAGTAGACAACAGGCCAATTCTTCGAGCACCATATGCATCGTGGATTTTTGAAATATTTACCAATATTTGTCTGTGGTCAAACAAAAGATGGTGAATTGACATATATTTAGCCGGTCAGTTTGTTGGCATGATTAGTTTGGTGGTGGGCATAGCTTTAAATTGTAAACTGTATGTATAAAATATTCTACCACATTTGAAGCAGTTTCCTGGTTGTAGTGTGTACATACAAAATACTATTTATTTTTTATAAAACATTTTGACCTGCCTTTGAGCGCAACACAGATCCTCCAAGGCAAATAGCATTCATAAATTAAACACAATACAATAAAAACACATGTGTACATAATACTGGAGACTTGCAGCTAGAACATACTGCTTCTGGTTCTTTATGTTCTGTCATAACCTCTTAAGATTGACTGGGATTGCTGCCTTAAATTTTCAAAATATGTGCCAGTTTTGAACTAAGGGCATACAGAGAGGTGCTGAGTCATCCTCTCAGGGGGCGTTCTTCAATATGAGTAAAATATTCTTTCCCTTGGAGACTTACCAAAGCTCAAATATGAGGATCTTCCAAAAGCTGTGTGAGATACTCTTTCAGCTGGTGGCTAGGACTAAGGCAATATAACTGCTGAAATTCAGGATTTGTAAAGGTGTTTTAACATGCTATTACTCATCTTAAGCCTTTGGAATGGGGCAAGCTACAAATCAAATAAAACTCTAGTGGGTTAGTGTAAGGAATAAATCTTAAACTTCCAGGAGCAACAGCTGAAGGGGCTGCTGGAAGCTGTTTTCCAGTGGAGAGGAGGAGGTCCATTGGTGGTGGCCTCCCCGGTTTAGTGGGAAGTGTTGTCTCTGTACCTGTGGTGGTGCTGCATAGACAGAGGGCCCAAAATGGAGCATTTCTCCTGGGCTGCATCTTGGGAGGCCTTGGTCCACCAGTCCAAAGCTTCCTTGTTTCCCAAAAGTACTGTAGTCCTAGGACAGGCATAGTTATTTTCCCTCCCATTAACATTGAAGGGAGGAATTTTAAAAGGCTGAATGGGGGAAAACAAACGACAGAAAATCCACACACGTCTTTTGGCATGAGTTGGTCGAGCTTCAGAAGTGGCAATTTCTCTACCTTCAAATCTACCACCACCTTAAGATTGTTCTGTAAATCAATATGCAGAATATACTTCACCATACCCTCTTGGTCTCCCTGACCGCAGAACATCATAAAAGATAAACGGATTTTTCCCTCCGCCTACTCAAACTCCATTGGTTTGTTTGCCTTTGTTCCTGTTAATGCAGCCTCAGACATGGCAGCATTTGTTGGCATTCTGCTGGCAGATTTGTGAACATTTTGTGTTGTTGTAGTAGCTCAGCTAATAGTTAAGTTAGGGGATCTGTGATCCAAAGTCAGGAATCTGCTGTTTCTTACTTTAGCTTATTTATGTAGGCTTGTTTCTTTGCCACTAACCACTTAATATGCCATCTTCATTCAGGCAAGCATCAGCCCAAGGCGACTTACTTAACAATGACGCAAACAAAATGAAGCAAACTTTTTTTAAAAAATGGCTAAATACCACTCTGACAAAACAGGCCAAAGGATTTATTCCACCTTTCCTCTTACCTTCTGCTTTGTATCGTACTCTGTTGAGACATTAACAATAACAAACTTTCACAAGTTTGCTCTAAGTCTGGAGAACTTGTATCATTTTATTACAAGTGAGCACCTCCCTGACATTTTCTTTTAATACAAATAGGCAGAAGTATATCATTCTATATTAAATTGCTGCTGCATTAAGTACCTACATTTTTGACACTGTTTAACCTGAGGACAGAAATGTGACGGTGTGCATATCTTGCATCAAGGAATGGGTGTATCTTGTAACAGGGGATGTTCCCGTATCTAGACAAATTACACAAAGGCGGCATGAATGGCCTTAGTTGTGTTCCAGGCTGGAGCGGGAGGGAAGGAAATGTAAGGTTAATGCATGAGACATTGTCCTTGTTTTTGTGCACATTGTAACATGATTACCCTTAACTGAGTGGCGTTTTTAAAAGCTTTCCTTAGTGGCTTCAGATAAAGGGCAAATCTCTCTCAAAGTATTGGCTTACTCATAAAGAGTATCAGACAACTTTAGCATTCACCATTGATATTTCCAAAGCATTTCAAGTGGTTAAGTAAATATGTGCATAATGTAGTGGCCTTGATTCTTAATCCTCTCTCTTGATTTTCACAGGGGAAATTCGTTTGAGTCCCGAAGACTTTGCCAAGGCCCAGAAATATTGCAAATATGCTGGCAGTGCTTTGCAATATGAAGATGTGAGCACTGCTGTGCAAAATCTACAGAAAGCCCTCAAGTTACTGACTACAGGCAGAGAATGATGCCTTTGTCCGCCAGATTCATGACTTGCGCTTCGAAAACTTGGAACAGTCCATTACTCCTACCTTCAGCCTGTCGGGGAAACACGGTTGCACAAAAGCTTTTGATTTCTGTGACAAGAAAACAAAATCTGTGTCTCTGTTATCAGATCTTTCTGTAGTCTAGTCTGGAACTACAGCCTGTCTTCATTTATTGGCAGAGAAACAAGAACCATCTGGGGACAGTGGTTTGAGCACGAGTTGCCAAATTCTAGGCATTTCTTGTCCAATGTTGCAGAATGCCCCAACATTTGAGCTACTCATAAAAAATACATTTAATTTTTATTTATTTTAAAATGAAAAAGGGGAGTTAGTGCATTTGGAATTTGTCTGAAGTATAAAATAAAATAATTTGGAAATGCAGAAGGGTTTTAAAGTTCAGGTGATAATTTTGGAGCAGTATAGCATAAGATTGTGATATGCGAAAAAGAGGCAGAAGGAGGCTTTTTTGAGGACTAGAAAGGTGTCGGGAGCTTTAAAGATACTTGAGGCAAAAGCATCTTAATGCTGTGTGATTCCAGCACTCATCAAAGCTCTATGCTGTACTTTGTTTCTGGTTTCTTTCCCCTTTGTATGGTTTATTTCATGTATGAAGATAAAAGGAATCAAAGGAAAGATGTGTCTGAAGTCCAAAAGCCGGCTGCATCCTGAACTTTGAGACTATTTGTGTTCTGAATCTTAGAAAGAGGCCATTGCTATAACGAAGTATCTGGATTTGCTGTTATTTGGGTTTGGGGGTATTTTTATTTGCATCTGTTGCCAGATGGGGAAATTGCTACATAAATTTAAGTTTTCAACTAATAGTAGATTGTAGACTCCATTAAAGCATCTTGCACCCTTTACATGTGGTGTTGAATTACTCATATAATGTTAACAGGTGTCTATGCTTGTTTAATAAGGAATAAAAGCCTTTTAGTATCAAATGCACTAAATCGCTAGTCTTAGTTTTAGTCCTGCGTATTTTCTACATAATGGGATAGGGAGTGCATCAGATTCAGCTGGGGCCCAAGTCAGATCAGGTGTACTCAGAGGGCCTCGGATGAGTCAGGTACACACAGCCACAGATCAGCGTGAATTGGATTGGATGGCCCAAAGCTTTCTTTAGTTGCCAGGTGGGACATGGGGCAGGCAAGTTGGGAAATCACACAAAAGGCAACCTACTTGATCAGTGGCCGCATCTTCCCAAGAGACTATAGGCCTGTCACCACTGCTCTCCTCCATGCCTGATGCACCACCATATAGGATCCACTCAATGGCTGTTGAATGGAGGCATCAACCCTTGATCATTTTGCTTGATCCAGGTTCAGATTACCAGGTTCAGACTTAGAAGCTTAATAACTTTTTGAAAGGAATCGGCTCAAGACTAGAACTCCAGTCTTGCATGGAATCTTGCTTAGAAGCAGGGTATTGAGTTAAATCTATCAGCATATATTATACTAGACATTCCCAATATATTCAGACATTTATATTCCACAAGGTGTTTAGGCTCCATTAAACTAGAACCAATCCATAATATGTTCGAACTCAGCAATCATTTGCACGTGCAGGAAGAACACCCATGTGCTGGGAGGGAGCAGGCTTGTCCATTTCTTTTATCCATCACTTGCCCATGCAAAAAGAAGAAGAAAAAATCACGGAGGATAAGGCCATCAATGGCTATTAACCCTGATGGTTATGTTCTGCCACCACTGTTGGAGGCAGTATTCTTCTGAATACCAGTTGCTGGAAACCCAGGTGTGAGGATAGATGCTGGACTAGATGAGGCACTGGCCTGATCCAGCACGCAATTCTTACTTTTAAAAAAAGCCTCAGCTGATGAGCACATGTGTGTGTGTGCACAGTGACAATGCAAACTTAGGTATTTATCATGTTAAAGCCCTTTGCCTTCTTTAAGGATGGATGGTGCGAAGATGAGAGAGTCTGCCACTTCTACCAGTCACTGCCACTGCTGCTGCCTGCCCTCTTACAGGTGATACAAGTAATAAAGGGTCCCCTTGTGATATACCAGTGGTTCAGTGCTCGGATGTTGTTCCAATAATCCAACATTTTGTCACTAAATATCTAAAAAATTAAAAATACATTGATTTTCCTCATTTTGATTTTTAATTTTAATTTTCCTTATTGTACTTGTTAATTCAGCGGAATTCTGTTACAATAGATTTTGTCGGCTCGATGACCAAGATATTTAGTGATAAAACATAGGATTACCGGAACGACATCCGAGCACTGAACCACTGGTATATCACAAGTGGACTCTTTATTACTGTGTTTGCAATTGTTCAAGATCTACTTTGGAAAGAGAATAAATGAGAACTGAACCACTGACATATACGGTAACAAGTAAACTCTTTATTTACTGTGTTTGCTATTGTTTAAGATAAAACTGATTTGGGAAAGAAGCTACTTCTGCCATTTTTATGGATGTTTATTTACAGACAGTTGCCTTGTGTCTATTGCAGTAGACATTGTATTACCATCCTGTTTATTGTTTTATTGCTTACAGGAGAAGCAGTGCAAAGCACCATTCAAAACAGTCTCCCTGCCCCTTTAAAGGATGGGAAAAGCTGCTTCAAATGGGCCCTTTGATGCTTTAATATAGCTCCTGCTCTCCCAATGGAAGCATGTGGACTGCTTTAAAGAGCAGCCTCCCCACTCATAAAGAGAGGAGAAGGGTTTGAAACACTTTGAATCTTTATGAATCCCCGTGCTTTTCAACAGAAGCATGGCAACTGCATTAAAGCACTTGGCCGCAGAGATCAAGAGCTTAAAAGAGGCAGAAAGAGGCTTGCAAAAGCCTTTGTGAGTCTTCCCGCTTCAAGTGGAGCACAAAGGGTTTTTTAACAAGTTTGCAGCCCTGCCCACCTTGGACATTTGGCCCATGAGGCAGATCCTGAAAAGGGTCTGTCCCATGGAGGCAAAAAGGTCCACCTGCCCCCTGCTTCAGAGAGTCAGGGAATCCTCAAGAGCAGCTTGAACGGAGGATGGCTGTTGAAAAGAAAATGGGAGTTGTATGTAGTCCAATAATACCTGGAGGGCCCTGCATTACGCAGTAAATTGAATTCAACCTCAGAGAGCACTTCTCTTCACTCGCGCTGGGGTATTATTCATTACCCTAGTCATCATGCTCAGTGGCCAGGAATTATGGGAGTTCTAGCCCCTGAACATTGAAAAAACACCATTTTGGCTGTTCCTGGCCTAATGCATAATTAAGGAATCACATTTCCCATCAAGGAATGACCTTGATTTTGTTATATATATATATATATATATATATACACACACACACACACACACACACACATTGCTGCAATGATAAAGACCTGTGTTTTAATTGTTGCTGCACACACGCACATACACACGTATGCACAGATAATCCGTTTCTTGGGTTCAGCTTTCCTGAACTGTAAGCATCTTTCAAAGAACTCACTTGGGAATCCTCTGTTCTCTTTGTGTGTGGAGGTTCAAGTTTTACTCAGCGTAGCAAAGCCAGGAGAAACGTCTGTAGTATTTTTCATCCAAATAAAACCTGGAACACTTGCAGATTCCAAAAATAGAGAGGACTATGTCCTCCAACTTTCTCTGGCGTTAGTTGAACATGGAAAACTCTCTAAAATGAAATGTTTTTGCCAGTGATATACAACTGCTTCTCGAGCACTTAAGTGCAGTAGCCAGTTGAAAGCTCTGTGGGAGTGCTGAAGGTTAGGGCTTGGCTCCTATCTCTTTTGCTCCGTTCACAGAAGCTTCCAGTCACAGAAGCAGAGCTGTGCTTACCGAAAAGCTGCTTCTGCCCATGGAATCTTCCAGGGATTGTCATTTAAGACCTTGAACTCTGACATTTTCAGTAGAACAGGCTTCTTTTTTTATTTAGCACCTTTTCCTTGAAAGTTCCACACTCCCCCCTGGCACTCACTTGGACTTTGGTTTAACCCGGAGTGGTACCCCCTACAGATTCATCTAGCTGTCCTCCAGTGGTGTTATCTTTGTACTCATGAGTAGAAGAAACTCATGGAAGTGGGCAGGCTGAAGTTAGGGAATTAAGTCACCAGGCAGAAGCCAGTGGATGTGCCTGGATGATGCTATCAGATGGTAGCCACCTGCTTCCTTGTCTGGCCCCATTAATGTCTTTAACATGGAATGGGCACCAGGTGGTTGCGTCATTTGATTTCCTACCAAGTGCACAGGTGCTGCTTATTGCTGGGGGACTTGTCTAAATGGGTGCCGTTTGTTGGATGACACAAAATGCACACCTGTTTCAGGATGGAACAAAATATCTTGTGAACCAATTTCACTTGCCCATTATCTGCGAGCTATTCTGTTTGCACACAACAAACAGGAGAAAGAATTTGGAGCGGTTTATTTTCACATCAAATGTCAAAACATTTTGGTTTTACTTCCTGATACTTAAACCCATAGCCTTGGCTTTCTGCATTCCAAAAAGCCATAGCAAAGCGGAGCTGTGAATTAAAGTCTGTATAAAGACTATAAAGAAAATCTCAATAGCAAGGTTGAAGACATTTGCTCCAAAATTTGCAGAGGTTTGAGGATTCCTGTTAGTGCTCTCCCTCACTCTCTCCAGTGCATGAAAGCCCAGCACCAGATCTTGCAGTGCATTCTGCCCAGCTAGCTTGCTGTTCTGCTCCCTTAAAATTACAGGATGCAGGCTCCAATAATGTTAATAGGCTTGCACCTGTGGACATTAACTCCCAAGCTGTACCAAATTACATCTCTCTTGTGTGTTCCAGGTAGACAGTGCTGCAAATTTGATGGATTACCATGTGCTGAGATTCCTGCATTGTAGGGGGTTGGACTAGATGACCCTTGGGGTCCCTTCCCTTTACAGTTCTATGACTTTAAGATGCCCAAGTTCCAGGACTTTCCCTTAGTCCACTAATTCTCCCCCCACCTTGATCAAGGGGCCTGCACATGGATGTATTTAATTAGAGTGCAACAATTAAAAAGTGCATGTAAAAGCAATTTGCTGCAGCTGCATGCTCAATCCTGAGGAATGATCTCGGAATCTGCAAGAGAGTGCATGACAGGAAGCAGAAAGAAAAGGTTTTATTCTCACAATGTGGAGTGCTCTGGGCAGATGAAAGCGGCTGCCTCAGGCAACTGATTTTTAAGGTGTCACAAAAAAGGGCAGCAGGTTGCTAGCGATTTAATATATCATTATTGTACTTCAGGGAAGGAGAGAGCCACCTGCACAATTTATATTTTATTTATTAAATGCTTTATAAACCATATTTCAAGGCACAATTCCCCTCCTATGGTGTTGTACAAAATTCCTTAAAACATAGTATGCAATGATCATATGCACTGTAAATTTTCTGCCTTAGGTGATCTCATAGAGTGCTGTGTATGTGTTGCTCCGCCTCAGGCAGCAAAATGCCTTGAGCCAGCCCAAAGAGTTTCCCAGAAGAAAACTTTCCCTTTGTACAATCACATCGTGCTAAAATATCAAACATGAAGCAGCTCTCCCTTAGGCAAGCCAGTCGGGATTTGGGTGATGGAGAGGTTCCTTCCTTATACTCCTTGCATTGCATACAACCAATCTGAAATGATTCAGCAGAAGATTATGAAAAATGTGCAAGTGGCTTTGCTGCCCTGGGTGTTGTGTCATTCTTCATGCTTGCCAGGACTTGGAATCCCAGATTCATTGGCCGGAAAAGGGAAGACTGGAATAAGTTAAATGATTAGATTTTATGTTTATTGCTGTGGATCTCAGCAAAGACAAAATGCTGAAGTTTTACCTTTTAAAAATCCATCTCGTCTACTAATAGCAAATTCACTCCTGAGTGTGGATCACCACAGTCCATGCAAAAGAAGGAAGACCTTCATGGCTCAAATGGATCTTTAATCAGGAAGCTGGAGAAATGAAGAGTGAAAACAATGCAACAAACTGATGGTGTTTCCTGCTTGG